GAGACCTAAACATTAGCTTTTGAACTTATCCCAGCCTATCTCAACAAGAAAGGTTGAGTTCACATTATTGCCCTTTGGGAACTATATGAATTGAAGTATAAGAAAAGGTGGTGTTTATGGTAGAGTCTCCCAACAGGACTCCTGCTAGGTCATTTATAACAATACTAGTACTTTCTGTCATCAGATTCCTATGGTCCCTGTTTGAAGCAGAATATATCTTCATTGTGGGGTTGGGTGTTTTTTTTTTGGTTTGTTGTTGTTTTGTTCTTGTTTGATTGGGGGTTTTTTTAGGGTTATCCTTTACACCAGGATAATGCAATAAACAGTATCTATTATTCTACTACTTCTCTTTGCATCCCCTGTAGTCCCTGTGGTGCCTGTCTCTCTTTGCAGCTTTTAACGAAATGACTTGTTAAGAATGGTGGGTGGCTCTTGTTTGTGTCGTCACTTGTTCCCAACAGTTCACTCAGGATAATTTGGTTTAAATAACGCTAGTCATCTAAACAATATTGTTAAGATATTGAAAAAGATATTCTAGCTCAAAATTTTGAGTTTGGATCAAAAATACTCTGCTCTCAAGTTTGCTGATTTCATCTATATTTGTTCCAGACTCAGCCTTATGGGCTTTCGTCGGAGCTTCAGTTTGTTTTGATGTTTATCCTGTTGGTGCTGTCTAGTGCAGCAGGCACTGAAGTCATTGGAAGTTTGATCATTGACTTTCATGAGGGAAACCTCAGGATCTGAGCATTTGAGCTGGAGAGGGTGCTTAGCAGTACTCAAGCAAAGATCTGACTAAATCAACGGGAGTTTTGCCACCTTCCCAAAATGCAGGATGGCACTCTGCCTTTGCCTTGCCCTCCCAAATGCTAAAGGGGGAAAGCAAAACCAACCAAAATCAACATGTTGTGCTCTGCTCAGACTACTTGAAAAGAAAATGTTTTTTAAAAATATGTATGCATCTAAACCTGTGGAGAAACTCAGTTCTATTAAATACTAAAAGCAGAGAACATGAAGCATACTTATTCCACAGGCTTAATGCTCACAATGTATGAACTTAAAATGGATAAAACCACTGTATGTTTTCCCATGTTATCATGTCTCGTGTGGGTATATGTTAGCACAACGGGGTTACAAAATGGTGAGTTCTTATATAAAGCTCTTCCAGCATGACCTTTAGGCTTTTTCTTGTTTAAGCCTTGTATATAAGGAAAAATGATATGCCAGATTAAATGAAATCCAGAAGCTTCCTAGGAAAATGGCATTTACGTCCACATTAATGCCTCAATAGTAGTAGTATCAGTAGGAGATTCCTTCCCAGTGTCCAGGAAAAAGCTGACAAGTAGAGATGTACATCTCTGTTACATATATATAATAAGAAATGTATTAATTTTTATTAAGTGGGGGGAGAGGGAAGCAAAAAGCTAAGCAGTGGGAAAGCAGGTGTTTATTCTTCAGGGGTGGGAAGTTTTGACCTTTGGAAGGTGGGTTTCCTCCCCAGGCGCAGTGGGTGCCGGCCCCTGCCCACGGCTGCTGCCCGGGGCAGGACGGGATGGGGTGGGAGTGCTGCAAGGACGCAGGTCCGGCACCAAGGGCGGTGTTAATAGCATGTGTCCCCCCCAGAACTGCAAGTTGAAGGATAATGAAAGAAATACCTCCAATACTTAAACACGATCTCACATTTTCACACGGCCTACCCAGGCGGTTAAAGCTGCACGGGGGGGCAATTGGTACCCGAGGGCTGCGGGACCTCGGGACGGACTGGTTCCCGCTGAGAAGGTGTCTGGGGGTTTGCGATGTCCCGGGGAATAAGGAAGAGAATGACTGACAGGCCTTCTGAACCCGAAGTAACAGCTGGAGGCTACTGCTCTTCCCATGTAAGAGGAAAAGTATTGCTATAAATCGGGAATCTTTATAGCTGTTCAGCTGAAGGAAGTTTTTTGGCTGTAAACTGTCATGCACTGCAGCTCCTGGTGAAAAGACTGTGGAACTGGGGAGTCCTCTCTCCTGAGAACCAAAGTGCAATTAAGATCAGAAAGAGGGGGAAGGAAATAAAATAAAATAAAGACAACAGGAATCTAAATTGAGGGAAAACTTTAGGGTTTGGGCTTGTTGGATATTTTGGGCTGGTTGTTAGGTTGGTCTTGGTTTTTTCCCCGTTCCAAAGATTATGTATAAACTCCTGGAAACGGGTGTTTTCTTCATGGTCATTTTAAAATTGATAGCTGGAAAAGCTTCTTTTTTGAAAGACCAACTAAATTTGAGAGCATACATCATTTGTCTGGGATGAGTGGCTCGCTCATTTGCTAAGTATTAAATAAAACGTGAAATATATCAAATCAAATTGAACTTCAGCTCTCCTCCCTTTATCTAAAGAGAGCGATCAGTGCAAAAAGTATCAACTGTGTAGATAAGTATCTGCTGCCGAAGGGCTTCCCATTCCTTGAGTGCCTATACATATATGTGTAAGGAATTAGTCCTTCCTTGGAGAATCGATCTGGAAGAACTAAATGGTGTTTTAAAAACTCACATCACCTAAATTCACATTTAGATCGTCTCTAATTATTTTATTTATTCATTTTCGGTATGGTTCATTTTCCACCGAAACCGCTCCGTCGCTTTCAATTCCGGCTGTTCCCGCTGCTTTCGACTCTTAAACACGTTCATTGTCAGGTGGGGTAGAGCTGAGGAAGAGCTGAGGCTGAAGTTTGCCTACACGGGACCCACCATCACTACCCCCACCACTCTCGTCCCCTTCCCCTCCGCAGACCGTACCCTAAAAGCGATGCGACTTCTGCAAGAGTTCAAAAGTTTTTCCCTGTCACCTGTACGGAGCGAGCGACTGTCCGTGCGAGTCCTTCGGGGTTGTTAGCCTTTCCTGGTGCTCAGCTTTTTGTTTAAGGATTGAGATGTTTGAAATGTCGCCTTGAAAGCACAAACCCAAAGATGGGGCTGCCAGCTCACTCGAAAGCCAGCGTGCCGTGCCCTGGCGGGGCTTAAGTCCTCGTGGCTTTTGTTAGGTCGTGTTTGCTTGTTTTGAGTGGAGCGCCTTCAGTGAAATAAACACCTGATAGTGAAAAGATCATCTCCAACTACCGCTAGCAGTGACTACGTATCAACTTAGTAAACTTTGTCCACAATTTCTTTGCAAATGCTGCTTTCCCCTTCCAAAGAGGACAAAAAGCAGGCGGTGGTCAGGCAGAAAAAACTTTAAGAAACTTTAACGCAGGTATTACTATGAAGGGTTAACATTTTTTTCGCTTGTTTCTGCACAATGGTTGAAGAGAGATGGCTTGCGGAATTCGGCACATCAGGTTGAAGGGGAAAAAAAAACTCTGCGGAGTTAAGTTAATGATATATGAGCCCGATGCCCGGTGCATGAAAATACAGCCCAAAGCCGTAGCTCCTAAACCAAAAAGAAACCGAAAGTAATAGCGGAAGGTTTGGGATTATTTTAAGTTTGACGAGGGCAGACACGCTCAGGCTGCTGCTCCGCTGGATGTGGAGCGTGGAATGGCAGGACGTGCAGGCAGGGGGTGTCTCTCCTCAGAAAGAGCCGGTGCCCGGACTGAACCATCGCAAAACCACCGCAAAAAGGACCTTCAGTGTGCCTTCCCCTGGCAGCCCTGACTTCCAGCTCCTTCTGCTGCCAGACAGCTCGACAGTGTAACAGGGGCACTTTCTCCTAAAATGTGAAAAATCCCGGCAGAGATGATGCGCGGTGTTTGGAGAAGAGGAGATGCCTATTTCAGAAACAACTTTGATTTTTACACCGCGCCCCTTCTTTTTCCCTCTCCTTTGCTCCCGTTTAAAAGACTTGTTATTGTTTAAAGAGACCCCATTGAACTATTTCCTGCTCATTGTCACCTCTCTCACCCTCTATCCAGGGATTCTCACGGAAAGGTAATAAACTGTTTCCCTCACACCACAGACCGCCACAGCCCCGGAGAATGCAAACTATTACAACACTGGCGGGCGGGAGTGCTTCAGAGCATCCCTTCTCTGCCTCATCCCGGCTCTTGTTTTTGTGTCAAATAACGTTACAAGAAGTTCAGCCCGTTGCAAGTTTCACCCGTGAGGCTCAGCCTCCGCTCTTGCCCGCAGGAACTCGCGGGGGTTTCTCCTTGTTACACGAGACGAAGCCTTTAGCTGTCGATCTGGTTTTTCAGAAGTACGTTTTTATTTAGGTGGGATGGCAGGTAACCATCCATATGATTTCTAGATTTTTTTTTTTAAATATTTTATTTAGGTAGGGTGGCTCGAAACTATCGCTGTCGAGCACCTCGGCTGCGAAGGCGCTGCCCGTGGTGGTGGTGCTATGTGGCAAACTGCGACTTTTCTCACGGGTGGGCTCCTAGGCTCACTTAAAATCGGGGAGCTGGTGGCGGGGAGTGCCCGTGCTGTGCCAGGTTCGTGGTCAGCCGCTTTACAGTGCTGTTTCGGCTCTTTGGCTAAATTTTACTGCAAGGTTTGTCGTTGCCAACTGCATCCTTCACTGAAGCAGAAGTTTCTGTCAAGGGGGCAGGAGCAGCGAGGGAACGGGGGTGGGTGTGGGTGCTGACAGCCTGCGGCTGCTTGTGGAGAAGGACTTCCCGTTCTTTCCCCTAAACATGGATCAGCGGAGGAGGTGTCACCCGCCGAGGACTGACTGCCTAAAAGCGGACCGGGGGGCTCGCTGCGGCGGGAGGCGGGAGGGTGCCGCTCTCGCCGGTTGTGAGGCTGTTGCCGAGATGGGCCATTTCCTCCGCGGCTGCCGGAGCCCCGGCCCCGGCGGCTTTGATAGAGGTGCAAACATTTGGGGGCAGATTTACATAAAATAGCCGCGTTCAATCCCGCGGGCCGCAATTAAACATCACAGGCCCCCGCGGGCCCCGCTGTGATATGGCCGCGGGCAGCCAATGGCGAGGCCCGGCCCGCCGGATCAAAGGCGCCGCCCGCCAATCAACGGGGCCCCCCCGCGGGCGCGGTGATGTCACCGGGGGGGCGTTTATGGCGGGCTATAACAGCGGCCCGGCCCCGCCGCCCTCGCTGGGGCCGCCCAGGGCCAGGGGAGGTAGCGCCTGGCCCGGCTCCTCTCGGGGCTGTGCCACGGAGCTGCCCCGCCGGGCGGGCGCGGGGCCAGCATGAGCTCTCCCGGCCCGGAGGGCGCGGGCAAGCCCCCGCAGTACCGCGTGGACCACCTGCTGAGCGCCGTGGAGAGCGAGCTGCAGGCGGGCAGCGAGAAGGGCGACCCCACGGAGCGGGAGCTGCGCGTCGCACTGGAGGACAGCGACCTGTGGCTACGCTTCAAGGAGCTCACCAATGAGATGATTGTCACCAAGAACGGCAGGTAGGGAGGGAGGGAGAGAGAGAGGGAAGGGGTGCCGCCGGCCCCGCTCCCGGTCGCCCGCGGGGGGGCGAGGGGCTCTCGGGGTCGGGGGTTGCGGGATGGCCCCGCCGCACCTCGCGGCTCCGTGTCGCCCCGCAGGAGGATGTTCCCGGTGCTGAAGGTGAGCGTGTCGGGGCTGGATCCCAACGCCATGTACTCCTTCCTGCTGGACTTCGTGGCGGCCGACGGGCACCGCTGGAAGTACGTGAACGGGGAGTGGGTGCCTGGCGGGAAGCCGGAGCCGCAGGCGCCCAGCTGCGTCTACATCCACCCCGACTCGCCTAATTTCGGTGCCCACTGGATGAAGGCGCCCGTCTCCTTCAGTAAAGTCAAACTCACCAACAAGCTCAACGGCGGCGGGCAGGTAAGCACCGGCACAGGCACCGGGACGTGTCGGTCAGCGGGGCTGGACCAATCAGGCCCGGCCCTGCGGGGCGGCAGGTCCTTCCAAGCCCCCTGCTCGCTCACCCTCTCCTTAAAGCTCGTTTTCATACTGCTCTTATCAAACGTGCTGGAGTGGGTCGCGCTTCTGCCTCCTCTTCCCCCCCCCCCCACTTCATTCCTTCAGGAGACTTGCTCTTTTTACCGAAGATGGGTGCCTTTTATGACTTTCCTTTTTAGATGTCTCCTTCTGATCTGAATAATGCCGACGATGTGGTAGATGAATCTTTCTGGCTAGCGTATCACTGATGCATTAGTGACTCTGCAAGCACCTTGTCAAGTAACAGGGATAAGGATAACTATGCACGAAGTCATGGTGTCTGTTCTCAGTGCACTTTTTCTCTTACAGCTTCAGTTTTAGGGCTTATTTATACCTGTTGCTTTTTTCTTTTAGATACTTTAAAACCTGTGTCCTCTCTGTACCTGCCAGCATCTGCCACTATTCTGTCCCTGCTCATCTGCTCTGTCCATTTGCTTACAGATCATGTTGAACTCCCTGCATAAGTATGAGCCAAGGATTCATATAGTGCGAGTGGGTGGCCCACAACGGATGATCACCAGCCATTCCTTCCCAGAGACCCAGTTTATAGCCGTGACGGCCTACCAGAATGAGGAGGTATGCACAGCAGGGAAGAAAGGATGCCACTTACCAGGAAGTTTTAAGTAGCAAAGTGCATGTTACAGAGCAAAATAATGGATCTCTTTTCACGTTTTTCAGTTCTTCCTGTGATTTTTTTTTTTAAGCTAAATATAAAAAATTGAATTATTGTATGTAAAAGCTGTATAAATGTGTTATGGCACAAAGTTCTGATCACTGTCTCAATATGTACTACAAATTCATTGTAGGAGAGTCATTCTTAAAAGATTTTGTGGGGCAAACAACTATGATGAAAAGTATAGTTGTCATTTTCATCTACACAGTGAAATAACTGGATGTGACAGTTTTGGGATGGCCCTTTTTCTGTTAGCCTAAATTTGCATCTATGTTGAATGAATCTGCAAATTACCAATCTTTCTGAGATTTCTTTGATGTCCATTCTGCTCTGGCTTGAAACGTGAAGATTTTTATAACTCTTTAGTGTACTACCTTTCTTAGGTGTTTCCTTAGATGATCAATAAACCTGGGCAATTCAGTCTCTTAGAATTTGGCAGAGAAACTAATTCCTAGCCCTTTGATACTGCTTCAGACCTTAACAAGCTGTTTATTTGATATCTGTAGGTTGCTATTATGGCACTACTTTTATTTCTTAAAAAGTCAGTGATTTTTACCAACTTCAGTGGATAGGCCTAATTCAAATCCTAATGTCAGTGTGATAATGAATGGTGATACTTGTAAATAAAGATATTTGTTGTTGTTTTTAGATCACAGCTTTAAAAATTAAATACAATCCGTTTGCAAAGGCATTTCTTGATGCAAAAGAAAGGTGAGAGCTCTTAATTTAATTCTAAAGTGTGGATTTTTAATGTAGATTTGTAGAGGCATATTCTTAACTAATACAACACGGTTTCTTTTATAGAAGTGATCACAAAGACATGATGGAGGAAGTGGGAGACAATCAGCAGTCTGGGTATTCACAGTGTACGTTTCCTTTCATTACACATCATGAGCATAACTTTGATTTCTTCCATCTCATCTGTTACGTTAAGCAAAACTTTGAGACTGCTGTTTGCTGGCTGGCTTGTTAGTTCATAAGGAGAATAGTATTAACAGTCCTTGTGATTGTGGTTTGTGCAGGTTTGTGATTGTATAAACATTATGATCTCTGTGGTTAAGACTTCTTTTCTTACATTCAAAATTATTTAATAGAATCTTGCAATTGCCTTCATGTCCAAAAAGACAACTGCCTTTGTATATAAGGATAGCAATATTCACGTGGATATGGAGACAAAAGTTTATTTCATAGAATTATTGAAACAGTACTTATGGTTTAAGTATTCTAAGAAAAATATGGGCATTTGCCTAAAGTTTTTTCAGATGATTAAAAAGCATTAGTGTTTTAATGATTTCTGTTTTAACAGATGATTGACAAAACAGTGCAGTCTATAAAGGGGGAGAGTTGATTTGCAGTAGGAATTATTTTGTTTCAGAGAAAATACTTAATTTTTAAGAGGAGTTCTTAGCAGTCTGAGAAACTTCAGAGCTTAGCTATAGATTGAGTTCAAAGAGCAGTTTAAAACTGAATAACATGCTAACAATTACTGAGCACACACTACCTACATATGGGAGGGTTTAACAATTTCTGTGTTTCTTTACTGTGATTGTAATGAAATGGTAATTTAAAAAATAATGTTGGCTTGACACGGGTCTTCTTTTAAGCTGTTGTTTCTTTTCCTCCCTGGCTGCATTACATAGCCCTCTTACAGACCTCTTGCTTCCCCCCAGTAGGTAGTTGGCTTATTCCTGGGACTGGAACTCTGTGCCCACCTGCCAATCCTCACGCCCAGTTTGGAGCCCCCCTGTCACTCTCCCCTGCTCACAGCTGTGAAAGGTACTCATCGCTGAGGAACCACCGTCCTGCCCCCTATGCCACCCCCTACACCCATAGAAACAACTCACCAAGTAAGTCTGATGTTGCAGCTCTGTAAAAAGGTGGGGGATGAGCCGAGGGATTTGAGCTTTGAGCAGAGGCATCGTGCGTCGTTGCTAAGTAGCTCAGTTTGTGCAGAGGGCTTGGAGTCAGCATTGCAAAGAAAAGGGGGTGATGGGTACATGTCTTCAGTCTCTTTATGATGGAAAAACTGTCCCCTGTTAATTGATCGGATTGTATTGTGCTGGCTTTGTGTTGTGCTCTTGAGTTCTTGAAACCATTTTGCTTAAACTTACTTTAAGTTTGAAAATAAGGACTTTAATGATTGTTTATAGGCAATACATTGAAATGAAGATGTATGTCTGGTTCTGTTAGTATCACTTATTATTAACACATAATAATTGAGAGCCTGATTATGTTAGTTTCAGTTGCCAGTAGCTCTAGTTAATGTCTGTGCCATGACTGCATAAAAAGAAATAATATGGAGCTGAGTAAATTGCAGAGCTATTAAAAGTTGTGCTCAGAAATAGGCAAATATCTTAAGGCTTAGTGTCTCAAGCACTAGATACTTAAGGGAGAAAGGAGCATTTTTAAGTAATTTTTTTTAAAATATATTTTCTTTCTTCTCGCAAAGAATTGTTAGCAATTTTTGCTTTTAAGGCTGTGTAGATATTGTAGGTTCCCATAAAAATTATTTAATATTTTGATTTATGAAGTAATACACAGGCTTCTAGATGCAGCCTGACCAATCTTGTATGTAGCTTTGTAGTTCATTTGGAAGTAAAAAACTAGCTTTCTGTGAACTTTTCTTGCATCGGGGAAGTTTCATGCAAGTTTTGTAATTTAAATAATAAAAGAAGAAAATACCTCTGGTGTTCCTTCTTGTTCCCTGCTCCTCAGCAAGGAACCTCTTCTTCACTTAGGCAGCTGCCACAGCAACTTCTTTCTCACTATGGATGGTTGTATGGGATTCCCTTTATAGCTTCCTAGTGCCTCTGCTGTATTGGCCAGCCAGTTTTGGTCACAAGCTGAGTAGTCTAAGCCACAGTCCAATCACTCCTAATGGTGCCCAAGGTGGACTTCAAAGCCCATGGCAACTCAGCTCAAAACTGGTGTGTGTAATTTAGTGATATGCTTGTTATCCAGGTCTGCCAGAGTGTTACTGCCAGTGTGGGTGATGGAGATAAAGAAAGTGCCCTAGAAGGTCCCCAGGTGACTGCAATAGTGTCAATAAAGAGCCTGCCTCTTCCCACAGACTGAATAAAGAAGCATGGGCTAAATTAGCAGGTGGTTTGCAGACAGCTTTTTGCCTATAGCTCCTTCACAGAAATAAGACTTTGCAGTTGTGAGTTGAGCAAAACAGCATATCAGGGCAATGCCAGTGAAAGGTTGAGCTTGACACAACTAGTTGTGGCTCCATTTTTTTTCTTCTCTGTGTGGGTAATTTTGTCTTTTTTTTCTTTTTTCAGGGTAGTAGTGGAGGGAGGTGGTTTAAAGCTATAGATTGCATTTAAATACAAGATTGTGTGGCCTGATTCTAGTGTGTTTAAGTGATTATTTGTTTTCTCAGCAGCCTATACTGATAACTCTTCTGCCTGCCTATCCATGCTGCAGTCCCATGACAACTGGTCTTCTCTAGGAGTTACTACACACACAACGATGCTGCCCATGAGTCACAGCACTGGCACAGCTACCAGCTCCAGGTAGGATTCTGTCCCTCAGCAGCCCTCAAATTGATGTCTTGGTACTTTCTAGGAAGAGAGGGCTGAAAAAGGAGATAGTCACCACCGAATTAGAAATCCCTATGGCCATGTGTGAATCATTAGTTCTCTGTGGGGCACTGAGAAGGACTATTCACAAGGAAAACAGAATTGAAGAAACAAATTTTTTTAATGTTTTGGTTTTGGAAATGTAGTTACTTGTGACAACAATATTTGATAGTTTAAGGATTGAAAATCACTTAGACAAACATACATTGAATTTGAGGATGCTTCCTGAAGTTTCATCTCCTTTCAGCATAGTGGTGTTTTAAAACAAGTTAATTTTTTTATTTCTTTCATTTTGCCCAGTAACTGCTTTCTCAACCATCTCCATAAACCCTTGTTCTGCTACAAATGTTGGAGCAGTGAACTGTATTGAGGAGATGGAGCACACAGTTGGGGCAGTAATTCTTTACTTAAACATTGCCACTCTAGCCTAGCATGGGATTATACATGTAGTGAAAGTCTTGTTATTTTGTGATCATAAAAATGTATCTTTTCTCCTCTTTTTACTTATTATCTTAATTAAACTTTTGGATCCTTTAACAGAGATTTAGCTTACAGTTAGTCCCTTGGAACTAAACTTGAAAATTCAAAGACATACAGGAAAGGTGGTAAAATATTTGCTATTAACCACAGAAGGACAAGGTTTGAACATCTTTCTCAACAATTCAGACCTACCATTCTATTTGTGGAAAGCATTTTTATTTGAACGTGCACATGGACACTGGGCTGTTAATCAGACTACGTACTACTACTCAGTATGAGTTACTGGTATTACTGAACTTAAGCTTTAGTCCTGAACACAGATTAATTGAGTAAACAGGTCCTCCTAGCACTTCTTTCTATGTCTGACTCCCAGGATATATATTTAGAAAGTTGCAAAGTCCTCTGAGTTTCACTTGGTGCATTGAGCTGTCCAGTAGATAAAACTAGTAGAAATGGAACTGTGGGACCTCAAAGAAGGCATTTCTGCCACTCCTTTTGTCTAAACCCCTATCTGTAAAGTAAGAATAATATTTTTCTTTCTTATTAACCTGCTTGGGATCAATAGGTAGAAAGTGCTGTGTAGTATTATACATCAGAACTTTACTGTTACTCATAATATTTCTCTTTAATCATCCTGGTTTTTTTTAATGTTTAGGTGTGTTTGTGTATAGTTAGAGGAGAGAGAGTGCAGAGGCTCTAGTGTCCTGATGAAGCTTTTTTCCTTTCAAGCAGCCCTTTCTGTAGTATCTGTGTGATCTGCAGTCTGGCGCTTCCCCTTCTAACATGAGCTGGTGAACAAGGAGGGCTGAGTTGCTGTATGGAGGCATCCATCCCTGTCTGACTACAGAGGCACCCAAGGGACTCCATCAGACTCATGGCAGTGTATTCAAACCTGCCTGCCTCCAACAGCTGCTGTGTCCAGCCACCTCCACCATGTGCCTTTCCCCCTAATGCCATCATGGCTCAGGAATCAGCTCTCAAACCTCTGCATTTTTTAGCCAGCCTGTTCATTCCTCAGCTTGGCCTAAAATTGGCTAGTATACCTAGTTCTGGAACCTGCTGTTGGAAAACAGGGAGGTTAGATTTATTTGTGAGGTGCCATGAACACGAATCCTGCCTGAGGGTCCTTCCTACCTCACAGTGGCAGGGGACTGCCTAGTGAATTTCATCATCTTCAGCAAATGGACCCAGCTTGGGCTCTGTGTTGTGACCTGAGAAACTGCCAGCAGGCACTAGAGTCACTAATAACTTGTTTTGTTTATCACTTTCAGTCAGTACCCCAACTTATGGTCTGTGAGTAACAGCACCATCACACCAGTGTCTCAGTCAAGCGGGATGTCCAACGGCCTGAGCTCCCAGTTTTTGCGTGGCTCTTCTGCACACTACACTACTCTTCCTCACCCGGTCACAGCCACCTCCTCTGCCTCCCCCCTGTACGACGGCGGGGCACCCACGGACCTGCCTGACAGCCAGTATGATGCCTCCACACATGCCAGGCTGGCATCAACGTGGACACCTGTCACGCCCCCTTCCATGTAAACCTCGACCTTTTCCTTTAAGGCAGACTTTTTAGCTACTGAATTACTTTAAATGCTTAATCCTCAAGGAAGACAAAAAGGAGACATGAAAGAAACTGCGAACAAAGCATCTGCACTGCTTTGCATAGAGCACCTACATTATACCTCTTATAGTGAACAGTGCATCACTGATTTCATGTAGAGTTTATAAACTGGTGAGTGTGCAATTCTGAGAGCAGATTCACTGCTTTTAATCTTATTCATTTTTTAAAGTTTGATAGACCTAAGTTTTAAGTTTTTTACTTAGATTTCCAATTTCTCAGTATTCTCATATATTTGGACCTGAAGTTTGGGGTCGTTCTTGAGAAAGTTACTCATAACTGGTTTTCAGTTAATTTTTTTAAATGGCAAACTTAGCTGTAGGCATGAGAAGACTTATTAACCATCTAGTTAGAAGCATTCTGAAATATGCACAAATGTAGCTGAGGAGTGAAGTTTTTGGAAAATCATGTGCACTAACACGTATTTGCCTCACAAATACGTTGTGTTCTTAACTGTATGCTTATTTCCTTGCTGCTGAATTAATGTTGAGACAATCTGCAAGAACTGTAATCCTCCCAATAAAAACAGTATTAATGTCTGGTCTAAAAAGTTTTACCCAAAAGACTCCTCTTAGAAGTAAGTTTTGGTGTTTGATCATATAGATTTCAAATACCCATCAGCTTAACTAAACATCTCATTTCAAACAGCTGGTATCTAATTAGGAGCCCTATCCAAAACGTTTTGAGACATTGAAAATACATCACTGGGGTTTTTTTGGTTTTTTTTTGGTTGGTTGTTTTTTTTTTTTTTTATGGTCTTTGTCTCAGGCCTTAAGGGAGGGAGTTCAAACATCTGGAGAATCATTCTAATTTATTTTATTTCAATCTTCTTCTCTGATCTATATTTATTATTTGGTAAGTTACAACTTTATTTTCTATGTGTTAAGATATGTAAATAACCCCTCTACCTACAGTGTACTCTTTTAAGACAATCATGTGGGATATTGAACAACATGGATGTAAGTAGTTAACTTATTGTAAGAGGGAAATCTGTAGTTACCAAGAATTTTGGGGAAAAGTGCAGATACCCTAAGATTTAAAATACACTGACTGCTTGACTTGCTGGAAAGAACAGGTCTTTATAAAATACCTCCTTCATGACTGATATTAAGTAACGTGATCCAAATCTCTAATGCAGGCTAACCCAAAACATTGGCTTAAAGTGTGCCCTTAGACATGTCTCTTTCTCCCACTGGCAAATACATGTCCTGGGGTAAGGGAGTTCTTTTGCATAAGCCATAATAAATAACTTTTATAATGAAGTGCCTAAATAGTGAAGCAAAATTCTGTATCAGGGAATTCCTTAAATAACTGATTGTGTGCTCATGTGCTACAGTGGCAACTTTTAAAATGGAAAAACAAGTATTTGCCACCATTTTGGGCTCTTTGGCACCCTAGGGGCAGGTCCCTGCACCTCGAAAGGCTTTGGCAGGGCTTTCTCCCCACAGAGGGATCTGTGTGCAACAGCAGGCTGTGGTCTCCTGGAGGTGGTACTCCAGCAGGAGAAGGCACCAGAAGCAAATGGCTGCACGGCTGCATCCTCTGTCAATATGTAAATATTGATCTAAGTGCTCCTGTTTTATTGTGAAGGTACATTGTGTAAATGATGTAAGTGCATTATTATTTAGACTATTTTGTAGAAATTAGCAACATATTTCATTGTGAGGTTTTATACTTGTATTTTGGAAGTATAATTTAAATTAAAAAAAAGTAAAGATTCTTAAAACCCAATGCTTGATTTTGGTTTATGGGAGCGGTGGGAAAGGTGAATCAAATACACATCAGCCATATTGAACCTGCAGTATGTTGACCTTCCATGGAGCGTTTTCACAAGTGGTTCCTGCTGCAAGGTGACTTGTGTCTGTGCGTGAAGGTTCAGAGAGTTCTTCCTTTCTTCCCTGTTTCCCTCCCCCCCCTTTTTGTTTGTCCTTCCTTTTGATAAATCCTTCACTGCCTGGTATTCAGAGGTGATACCCGCACTTGGTGTTAGGTGAAAGCTCTTTTCCCACAGTGACTAGTCTGTAGGGTAAATGCTGGATGCAAGCCAGGCAGCTGCTGTGTTTTACCTTGATAACCAGATTGTCAAGTGTGTTTCTGAATCCCTGCCCCCAGTAATAAATACTGAACTGAGCATACAAATGCTGCTTCTGAGAGCTGACATAGTGGGGGACCTCAGCCTATGTTGCAGAGGGAGCCAGGTTTATCCCATGCCCTCAAAACAGACATGTCATGGAAAGAGGATGATCAATGTGCCACAGAATCATTTAAGTTGGAAATGACCTTTAAGATCATAG